TCGCCCGGCTCTGGATCTCAGAGTCTGAAACGCCTTCCCGATTGAAAACAATCACGCCCTCAGCTGCCAGCCCACTCCACGCGCACTCCGCACCTTAGTATTTCACTTCAGCACTGCGCCTCCTCTGAGTCTGGGTATGCTATTCTCTTTCCTCCTAGTTGTAGAATTTCCACTCAGCCAGCCTTCCTGTGGTTCTGGATGATGTCCGTTCCATCCTTTAGTTGTATCTCTGAAGTGGTTGTTCAAGGCAGCAATCTCCGGCATTAACGTATGCCGCCATCTTGGTTTCCGAGTGTGGGAATCTTAATCAGGATGTCCAAAGTCTATACACAGGTACAAGAGCATGGACACAGTCATCTGTATGTACCCTGTGCAAGCGTGCCCTTCATAACCCAAAAGGTCACCATTTGGTGAGAAGCCTCTTTTGTCTAAGTAGTATATAGTTGTTACTGACCAGCCAGTACCGGGCTGTATTATGGGGAAGATGTATTACAGCTGTGGACACAGAGGCTGCTACTGCTTTGTGGGAAAGGTGTATTGTTACCTAGCCGGTGTGCAGCTATTGTATGGGGCTTTGCTTTGAAGAACTGCTTTATCTAGTGGTTCCTTATTAGCAATGGCTACATGGCCACTGGCTCCTACAATGAAGACTCTCTTTTATACCCACAATATATCATGACTTCTGCATCGAATACCTGACAGTTGGTGTAGTGGAGCAGGATGAAGGAACTGAGTCCCAACACTCTCACATCAATATTTCTCTCTATCTTTCCCTCTCTTTCAGTCTTTCTAAAAATCAATAGAAAAATATCCTTGGGTGAGGATTTTTAAAAAAAGGATCTGCCAATACAAAGACTACTGCTAGGTACTAGGGGCTATGAAGGCAGATGTTCCATGGACTTCCATCCTCAGTTCTGCCCCAATTCTTCCTATGGCAATAAGTGTGGTTCATTTTGGGAAGTAGCTGAAAGATAAGAAGTAAACGCATCAAATGATCTCACTCATATGTGGAATCTAATGAAAAAAATAGATCCAGAGACATAGAAGCAAAGAATAGACTGTCGAACTTCAGAGGGAAAGCAGGGGAGGGTGGGTGGGTGACAAGAGATCAACCAAAGAACTTGTATTCATATATGCATAACCCATGGACACTGACAATAGGTGGTGAAGGCCTGGGATGGAGGGTGGGAGTGGGCTAGAAGGGGTCAATGAGGAAAAAGTGTGGGGGGGGACATATGTAATATTTTCAACAATGAGAATTAAACAAAAAGATTTATTTTTTTTAAAAGAAGTAAACGTAGTCTATGACCATTGGAAATCAGAGCTGAGCCACCAAAACCTAGCAATGATAGAGGTAACAGTGCCCGGGCAAGTCAACACTAGGAATCCGGTTGTGAGGAACAGAGTCATCAGAACTAGGCAGAACCAGTAACAAGCACCAGAGCCTAAGACTAAATTCTAAATCAAGGCAGCCAGGGCTGGCGACGGAGCTAAGAGAAAGCATCACATGAAATGTCCAAACACTTGGGAACATTTTCTGATGTTTCAAAAAGTAAGTGAATCTCTTTGAAGAGCCCAAGCCTCATTTCCACCAGAGCACCTCTGCTGGTAGCAAACACACCCTCTGAAATGAGATGAGAACTCATCACAAAGAAGACAGTTGATGAGGAAAGAAAGGATGCACAATGCACAAATCCAAGCATCCTCCAAAGTTTTATCAAAGCACATAAGGGCTTAAAAAATAGCCTTTCTGCCTCATTTTCTAAGCGCATCAAAAAGAAGGTACACAGTTATAACAGCAAGAATTGAGACAGAACTTAGAAATCACAATAGTGAGAATCCTAGAAATCAATGTATTTTTCTATCAAAATGTATTCATCATTGGTCCATCTCCTCAGCCTGTGGCCTTGGGGCAGTCAGCATAAAGCACCTAATGGACTTACTCAGATGAGGCAATGCATTTGAACTGGAATTTGCAGACCACCAGCAACATGAATTCCTCCCTTGAGGACTTTCCCTCACACTCAGAATAAAAAGCCAAAGTCCTTCCAGTGACTAAGGGCCATGATTTTGCCATTCTCTTACTTTTCTGCCTCTCCTACTGCTCTCCCCCTTGTTCACTTACCTACTCTAGTCACGGTACCTCCTTGCTGCTCTTTAAGCTCACCAAGCATGCCTGTATCGCAGAGCCTTTGCATTGTGTTCCCTCTCCTGAAATGATTTTCCCCCAGATATCTGCATGGCCAGCTCTTCCAACGGCAATAAGTTTGCTCAAATATCATCTTCTCAGCAAGGCTTTCCCAAGATACTTGTTATGAGCTAAATCCCCCACAGAATTCATATGTTGAAGTCCAAACCCCCAGGACCCCAGAATGTGACTATATTTAGAGAGAGGGTCTTTAGATGAGTTGACAGATTAAAATGAGGTCAGCTGGGTGAGCATTAATCCAATATAATCGGTGCCCTCATAAGAAGAGGAGATGTGAACACAAACATACAGAAGCAAGGCATGTGTAG